TCATGAGACATTCTCGCAAAAAAAATCACGGTTTTAGTAACGCAGTAACGCAGCGTTCCTATGGGAAAGTAACTATAATCGAATTACCGTTTTTGCAATAGTAATCCCTTACTTTACTCGTTACAAGTAACGCGTTACTGCCCATCTCTGTTGGCGACGGAGGTCTTGTCCACTTAGACTGTGGCAGAAAATTAATGGTGGATGGATTATTAACATACAGTCAAGCCACAGCCATGTTCACCAGTGTAGATACTTGAATAGAGGAAAAAAAAAACCAAAATAATAACAAATAACAAATCAGGTCATGTTCTCTGTCATATTTTCAGGAATGCACGAAGAAAAATGTGTCCTGAAGCAGCAGAGGAGCCAACTGTGATTAAATCTCGAGAAGGCCTGTTTTGGCTTAAAAAGACAGAGACTATGCAGGATGAGAAGGTGGATGGAGATTATGGACTAATAATAAATGGGCACAGTCTGGTAAGAAGGCTTGTTTTCAGCAACCACTGAAAAACCTCTGCAAGTTGACCTGTTTAGTTTAGTTTATTTTGTTTATGTAGCTTCAACAGTAGAGGCCACACTGTGTGATCAGAAAGTACATATTGTTTTTTTAAAGCCTGATTCTCTTATATTTTTTAAACTTAGAGATGAATGTAGAAATGAATGGAATTCTCTTGAGGTTTTAAGGTTGCACTACAGAATCTTGACAGATGACCTAACTCCATCAATTCTTTCCTTCATCATCAGGCTTTTGCACTGGAGAAGAACTTGAGGTTGGAGCTGCTGAGGACAGCATGCATGTGTCAGACAGTGATTTGCTGCAGGGTCACTCCTTTGCAAAAGGCCCAAGTGGTTCAGCTGGTCAAGAAATACAAGCAGGCTGTCACTCTTGCTATTGGGGATGGAGCCAATGATGTCAGCATGATAAAGGGTAACCTGTGAAGTCACCAATATACAGAGCTGTATTTTCATTACAACTATCCAGCTGGGAAATATGTAGCTGATATTGTGTATTTTATTGTGTATTTTATTTGCTTCCTTTTCTGCCTGCCAGTTGCTCATATTGGTGTAGGTATCAGTGGGCAGGAAGGCATGCAGGCAGTGCTGTCCAGCGACTATTCCTTTGCCCAGTTCCGTTACCTTCAGCGCCTCCTGCTGGTGCATGGCCGCTGGTCCTACATCCGCATGTGCAAGTTCCTTGGATATTTCTTTTACAAGAACTTCACTTTTACGCTTGTCCAATTCTGGTACGCCTTCTTTTGTGGTTTTTCTGCACAGGTGAGATATATGTATTGTAACTATACTATAATGTAATTTAAGTAGCTTTTGTAATGGGACATAAAGTGTTTATCAATCTCAATGAGAGAAATGCAAAAAAGTTTCAAATGATGCAGGACAAATGAAACAAATAACTTGATTCACATTCACCTTTTCTTTATGTTGTACTTAAATGTTCATTGTGGTTGTTCACAGACTGTTTATGAGGACTGGTTCATCACCTTCTACAATATGGTTTACACAGCTCTTCCAGTCCTTGGCATGTGTCTGTTTGACCAGGTATGTAGATTACAATTAACTATCAGTTTTTGGTTGACTTACATAAACCAGATCTCATACTCAGGTCTCTGTGTCCACTGAGCTTTCTCATCTCTTTCACTAAAACTTGTTTTGTGCAGGATGTAAATGACCGTTGGAGTTTATACCATCCTCAGCTCTAC